CTGTGCAAGGAAGTGGTCTGTAAAGGGATATCATTTCTCACCCCTTCCCCATTCATTCAGCTGGTGACAGACGCCTCCGGCATAGGCTGGGAAGCCCACTTTGGGAAACTCAGGACGCAAGGTATGTGGGGTCCCGTGGATCTCTCTCCACATACCAATGTCAGGTAGTTGAGAGCTATTCGCCTCACCTGTGGCGTGTTCCTATTGCAGCTTCAAAACATGTGCGTTTCAGTTTTGATCGACAACACGGCTGTAATGTTTTATATAAACAGACAGGGTGGTGCTCGCTCCTAGCCCCTGTGCAAGGAGGCTCTCCTCCTCTGGGAGTTTTGTGTAGCTCACAATATTCACCAAGTGGCTACCTACCTCCCCAGGGCTCAGAAGAAGCTGGCAGATGGCCTCAGCAGGTCCTTCCCGGGGCTCCAATGGTCTCTGAGGGCGGCTGTAACCCTCTCCATTTTCCACAGGTGGGCTGGACCTGTTTGCCACAACAGGAAGTGTCCCCGGTTTTGTTCTGTTTGATGATCCTCTGGCCGTGGGGCCTGCTGTATACCTTCTTCCCCTTCCCACTGATCCCCAGAGTAATCCTCAGGCTCAGGGAGTTCTGGGCCTCAGTGATCCTGATAGCCCCAGCCTGGCCTCATCAGCATTGGTTCCCGGACCTCCTCGCCCTTTCAATGGAGTGGCCTCTGGCCCTCCTCCTGTGTCCAGACCTAATCTCCCAGGAATTTGGCAGGCTCCATCACATGAGCCTCCACTCCCTGCACCTCATGGTGTGGAAGCTCCATGGTTAACGGCCTCAGAGAGGCAGTGTTAGGAGCAGGTCCACCCAGTCTTCTTAGGGAGCTGGAAGCCTCCACCCAGTCTTCCTACCTGGCAAAGTGGAAATGGTTTGTGATTTGGTCAGGTAATAAGGGGGTCCTCCTGCTATGGATGTCCCAGTTATCTTGGTCTACCTCCTTAGGTTCAGACTCCAGGGCCTGGCTACCTCCTCCATGCAAGTGCACCTAGCAGCCATCTCAGCTTTCTACTCCGGCTCAGCGGGAAGGACCGTTTTCTCGGATCCCAGAGTGCACCAATTCCTCCAGGGCTTAAGACAGGCTTCATTCTCAGGTGAATCAGCCAGTGCTCTCCTGGGACCTAAATTTGGTGCACTTAAGGCTCAAGGGTCCTCCCTTTGAGCCATTGGCCACATGTTCCCTTCTACACCTTTCCTGGAAGGCCATTACCTCATCCAGGTGAGTAGCAGAACTCAGGGCCCTAGTAATGGACCCCCCATATACGGTCGTCTTTAAGGATAAGGTCAGGCTGCGTCCCCACCTGGCTTTTTTGTCCAAGGTGGTGTCTTTCTTCCATGTTCACCAGGATTTTTCTCTCTGTGTTTTACCCTAAGCCCCATAGCTCCAGGACGGAACAGGCTTTACACACACTTGATGTGAGGTGTGCGTTAGCTTTTTATTTAGAAAGGGCCAAGCCCTTCCGCAAGTCCTCCCAATTGTTTATAGCATTAGCAGATAGGATGAAGGGCCAACCAGTGTTTCATCCTGGATCTCAGATTTCAAGGTGTGCTACGAGCTAGCACAGGTTCTGGCCCCACCCACTAGGGCGCACTCTGTGAGATCGCAAGCCTCTTCCACAGCTTTTGCAGCCCAGGTGCCTATTGTGGAGATTTGCAGGGCAGCTACCTGGTCCTTAGTGCACACTTTTGCAGATCATTATGCCATCAATCAGCACACCAGGGAGGATGCTGCTGTAGGTAGGGCTCTACTACAATCCATCTCTAGGTAGGTTCTGACCCCACTTCCTGGGAGGCTAGCTTTGGAATCCCCTAAGTGGAATGGACTTGAGCAAGCCCATGAAGAAAAAAGCTACTTACTTCAAGATGTTGCTCATGTGCATTCCACATCCCACCCACCTCCCTTGCGTTAGAGCATTCCAACAAGAAAGAACTGAGGGGGTAGAAGGCCAGCAGAGAGAGGTATGCACCAATATAGTGGTGCCACTCCTGGGGGCCCCAGCTTGCCCAAAGAGTACCACTAATGGAAAACTCTGCGGCAATCCATGCATGCAGCACGCGCACACCTAAGTAGAATGGACATGAGCAACCCATCTCAAGGAACAATAATTAAGAAAGTAAGTAACTTTTATCCGGTGGATATAGTGTACTTAGATTTCTAAAAGGCCTTTGACAAGTAAAGTAAGCAAGCTGTCATGGGATAAGAGGGAAGGACCTTTCAAAGATTGGTAGCTGGTTAAAAGATAGGAAACAAAGGGCAGGAACAAATTATCCGTTTTCAGAATGGAAAGAGGTAACTAGTGATGTCCTTCAGGGATCTGTCCTGGGACCTTTCCTATTCAACATGTTCATAAATTATCTGGACAAAGGAATAATCAGGTGGCAATTTGCAGATGATGCAAAACTGCTCAAGATAATTAAGTCCACAGCAGATGGATCTCACAAAATTAGGTGACTGGGCCTGTGCCATGACCAGAGAAGCAAGGGCTGTGCTCCTCTCCATGCCTTGTATCTAGTGAACCACAGGGATGCTTGGCATCTCTGGAGATAGGACACAGTTTCCCACACAGATCAGTTGGCTCAATCCCTGTTTTCCAGCTGCAAAGGAGTTTGTTAGATTTGGAATTGCTTCTGGGCCATGAATCCCCATTTCTTATGAGGACCATGATACCAGGAGGGCAGTGCATCAGCTCAGAGATTGTGCCTGGAGCCCGATACACTATTTGAGCAGCCAGGGCTCAAGCAGCAGAACTTGGTCACTTCCTTACCCAGCAAGTCATGGATAGAGTGTAGCAGCAGCACAAGATGTTGTCATTCAGAGCATGAGAGGGCCATCAGGGCTAGCTTCCCATAACCGGCACCCCCACATACATACCAGCATATCCTTTCTGAGATCATGGAAGAAAAGCAGACCTATCTAGCCCCGATGGTTTCCATGCAATTGAGAGGGGAAGAGGAGCTGGGGAGCCTATCCTGAACGGACGAAAAACAGAAGCTTCAGGTGGTAGCCAAGTTAGTCTCTACAGGATAAACTTAAACAACAAATGGTCTGGTAGCACTTTATAGACTTAACAAAACATGTAGATGGAATCTGAAGAAGTGGGCTGTGGGCTGTGCCCACGAAAGCTCATGATACCATCTACATGTTTGGTTAGTCTATAAAGTGGTACCAGACCATTTATTGTTTTTAATTGTGAAGATAAATGTGTCTGTTTTCTCCCATGCTTCAGGACTTGATGGTTTTACCTGGGGAAGATTCTTTCCTAAAAGAGCATCCTGCTGACTATACAAGTCCTTCATAGATAGCCAAGTCCAGGCAAAAATAAATATGAAACATCTGACATGTTAAATACTGCCAAGTGCTTTTAACAAGCACTGCTAGCGTGAGTAGGCAGCATTGCAAATATGTTTCTTGTCAACCTAAATTCCATGGGCTAAGATCACCCTAGAATAGGAGGGGGGAGAAGGAAGCAGTCTCAGATCTCTTTCATGTAGGCATATGGGTCTGATTCTTCAGATACGCTATCCAATTGGCAGAGCTGGATGAGGGAGCTGCTATATGTCTTCCAATTTTTTCAACTGTTTCCCAGAACAATACAAACTATAGAAAGTGGCAGTAATACTATTTATTATGCCTCACTGTTCTAAGTACCTAGCATTGGTGCTCTGGTCTGCTATTGCAAGACCAATCCTCCATTTGAGACCAGGCAAATTTAAAATTAATACCTGCTTGAAGTGATCAGTGTTCCCATGGACTCTGAAAGAGAAGTCAACAAATAGAACTTACTTTGCTGATGCAGAGCTTATAGTTTACCGCCTGCTATATTAAACCAGTGATACCCAGACTTGTGTTCCCCCAGTAAGGCTTTATTTGCATTTATAAGAGAGTCCAAGTAAAAGATCAAGTGTCTGTAGTATAATATGCTCTGCATGTTTAAAAAAAAATACTTTATACAAATCCCAACATTGTGGTTTTTTTAGAACATCAGTTCTGTCCCAGCCCTGCAGTGCCATAAAACACAACTACTGAACCTGTGTTAGAGATGTCTTCATGCTTCCTGTCCATTAGTGTAGGCCTCCTAAAGGTTAGTATCACCAGTCAAGTGAAGTATGCGGGTTTATTTTTTTTTAAGTTGGGAGCTTTTGCTAACACGAGTCAGGTTTGTAGCTATCATCCTAACGGTTTGTCCTTACTATTGTAATCGCATTCATTCAGGAAAGAAATATTTCTCCTTTGTTAATCAGCCACGTCCAGTCCTTAGCAAAGGTGTTAGAGCTATGGGTACTGGCTTATGTTATATACAGGATTTAAGGTTTTGTTCGATGGCTCTTATTACCCCCACTATGTAATTATTCCAGCAGCCCTGGTCCTTAGCACTCAGACTCAGGGCAGAGTAGTCATGTCTCCAATTCATATCTTCACCTAACGCTCCATATTGGTTATCTAGTCCCAGCCAATGTAATGTCCTTTCTTTTGGCAATGCCATAGCGTCCAGGGAAGGTGTACCAGATATGTCAAAATTACTGTGTTCTTGGTATCATGTTTACAGGATGATCCCGCTTCCCAGCTTGGATGTATGCTGCCATGAAATTCCCATTTTAACAGATCCATGGGCTTTATTGCAAGGATGAGTATCAGACAAAATAGTGGCTTGAAGCAGGGGAAGTTCACATTTTAAAATGAGCTGTTAATACATCCAGCAATATGCGAATGAACATACCGTATATTCCGGCGTACAAGATGACCTCTGATGTTAAAAAACATCCCCCAAACATCTTTCAAAGCCGCGGGGGGGCTCCAGCGGGGGGGG